CATTTTGACTTCAAAATGTGCTTCGCGCCACAACGGCGTGCACTTTTTCGACATCTCAACTTCCAAAAGTGGTCCGGACCTGGTGTGTTTTGTACATTTTGACTTGGAAATGTGCTTCGCGCCACAACGGCGTGTCGACATCTCAACTTCCAAAAGTGGTCCGACTTGGTGTTTTGTACATTTTGACTTCCAAATGTGCTTCGCGCCACAACGGCGTGCACTTTTTCGACATCTCAACTTCCAAAAGTGGTCCGAGACCTGGTGTGTTTTGTACATTTTGACTTGGAAATGTGCTTCGCGCCACAACGGCGTGCACTTTTTCGACATCGCAACTTCCAAAAGTGGTCCGACCTGAGTGTTTTGTACATTTTGACTTGGAAATGTGCTTCGCGCCACAACGGCGTGCACTTTTTCGACATCTCAACTTCCAAAAGTGGTCCGGACCTGAGGTGTTTTGTACATTTTGACTTGGAAATGTGCTTCGCGCCACAACGGCGTGCAAATTTTCATCTCTCATCTGGCCAGCTCGCTCCGCACCCGCCGCTTTAGCGAGCCTACTTTTCGACCCTCCGGAGCCCCAAATCATTGGAAAAACACAGTGTTTCGCGACTTTCCTACCTTTTCGCGCATCTGTATCTTCTGTCCTCTTACTCTTTCTCTTCTGATCTTCTCTCTTCTAATCTTCCTCTTCTCTCTGCCTCTGCCCTGCTCTGCTTTTCATCTGTCCAATTCTGTCCATATTGTCGGAAGTTTGACTTCTAAACTTCCTTCGATTAAAATCCCCAATATTTTATGTATAAATGGGAGCACTTTATCAATTGAGGCTCGAGGTATTTGCACGGCTCACTTGAGGCAATGCTTCCTCCCGCCTTGCATCAGGTCCAGATGGGAACTACAATTATTTGCTACCGCCCTGCAACCCAGGGGCTCATGAAGCGAAGAACTTCTATGTGCCTTGCTTTCCGAAGAAATGGGGTCCGGTTGCGGTTGTGTTACATGGAAAGAATTGAACACATTTTCTTGATCTGCTCAAGAACTCATTCTGCTACAGGTAAAGGTGCTTTGGCTCGTGCTTGTGGGTTTTCACAACTACACCCCGCGACTGACTTCGCTGATTATACAGGTCTCATGAACACTTTTGTTTGTGGCTGGCAGCTGCAGTTTCAGCTGTGATGATAAGGTCCTCCTTAAATCATCCGCAGCTGTGATGATGCATGTACATACAGAAGCATTAATGAATATGTGGGTATAAATATACATATATTATATATCCGTACATGTATAACGCGACCATTGACCATATGTTTTGCATTCATAGCTTCGTATGGATGTACACATTTGATTTTTATCAGAATGTTGTCCTTGTGATAAGGGTCTTGTGTTACGATAACGTTCATTGTTAAGACTCATGTCGCAGTTGCATGCAGTTGCCCTCAGTCGTGGTTCATGTAAAGAAGTGACACTGTGAGCAATTTGGAAACAAAACCTGTAACAAGCCTTGGGCTTGGGATATGTTGCTTTTTGTTTCACAATTCAGCAGTAAAGAACAATTTGCATCAGTTGGTTACATCAGCAACGCATAGCAAGCCCGTCTTGGAAGCATTTTATTTAGAATGTATGATGCATACTATCCCTTTTACTTAGGCGCATACATAATATTTACATATAATATATATATATACATATATACATGTTTGTATACTATGCATATGTTCTACCTATATTGTAGCCCCTGTTTTCACTCATGTGTCCGATTGGTTTTACGATCGCCCGCTTCACTGAGGTCGCTTGCTCGGTGTTGATTGCCTTTGGCCTCGCTTTGGCGCAGGTCTCAGGGGATGGTCTGATCATTCAGTACTCCCAGCAGCTCGGCATCCAGATTACGGCAGGGTATGGGATATATATATAATATATATATATATATTGGGTATATATATATATATACACATACTATATATATATTATATATATATACATACGTAGAGAGAGAGAGAGAGGGAGAGAGAGAGAACCCTCCAGTGACAATTGAGAAGATATGGAACATCCACCATGAGTGTAGATCGTACCCGGGAAACTCAAAGAAAAATCTATAGTATGACCTCACTGGCTGACACCATCAGTGAGGATGGAACATCATCGCCATGGGATGGCCAAAAACCACAGACCTGGGGGTAAATGTTGTATAATTAGTATGATATTGATGTTTGTAACACAATATATTTGTCTCAGTTGTACTAGTATTATTTGTATTAGTTGATAGATATTCCTATATTTGTAACAGGGCCAGGTTCGGTTTCTCGGAATTCGCCCCAAGGGTGTTCCATAGGATGCTTCCTTGCCGAGGAAGGAACCCATCGAGTCCCGTGGCAAGATCAAAGCTGAGATCATGATGACGCTCGGCAAGTTTGATAGCGAGCACATAGGGAACTGGGGGTTTCCTGAAATAAGGATACCCCCAAATGGATGGTTTATAACGGAAAATCCTACTAAAATGAATGATTTTGGGGATACCCCTATTTTAGGAAACCTCCAACTCACCAATCTTCCCGGCGAGATACCTTTGGTATGTATTGTTTGAGACATCAGCATCCATAATTGGGGATTGCCAGATGCAGGAACGCGTACAAATCCGCCAGCGAGATAGGGTCCACTCGCCGGCGAGAAGAGGTGACAGTATATAATCATAAGAAGTTGCCATGCGGGGGCTGTGCTGGTTCCAACCATTGAGACATGCTGTAAATAGCTGGGATGGGTACTCCAAGTGTCCACTGAAGGCCAGAAACAATGACTCTCCAGCTGCTGGAGATTGGAAGACTTACAGTAATGCTGGTATTCATTTGCTTGTTGTACTATCAGAACATGGTCCCCACTGCTTGTTCTCTTTGTTTTCTATCTGAACTTGCATCATGGTTTTTGGTTTCTACCCCCCTTCTGTTTCTTGGACTTACACCACTTCAACGTCCATATCAAGGATGATTACCGCTGGAATGCTGACGGCCAACCTCACCGTGGCCTTTCTGATGAACAGTAAGGAGATCCGGGAGATCCGGCTGAGATCCGGGGGGCTATACGGTGTCTTGGTGATTTTTGGTCAGAATGTGGTTATCTGAAAAAAAGTTTCGTATGGATCCTACATGTCAAATATACATGTTCTTATTATTATTGGCAAACTACGTAACTTGCAGCGCACCCTTTCTTTACCCACTCTCGTGTGCTTCTCTTAATTTGCTGAAGATTATGTTCTATTTTTCCAATGGGAAATCCACTACTTGGGGAATCTATAGTGAATAGTGATATTTTTTGGGGGTTCCTTAAGAAAATCCAAGTTCTGACAATAGGATTGCAACCGTGAGTCGGGCCATGAGCCAACTTGTGCGCGTTCCGCGGTGTCACATGTTAGTCTGACATTTCTTGGTGGGACAGAACGGTAGGACAGAGCAGTAGAAAATTACAGTTGTTTGGTACAGATTGCCTCACGACAAACCAGTTGATGATTTTCCACTACCTGTCCCCGAAGTCAGTCCAAATTCTTCACTTGAAACTGCTGTGTTTGGTCGAGAACAATCGCAGAATTGTGGTTACACTGATAACTCACTTGAAATCAAAACGAGTGGCGTTTTCAACTCTGGTTGTTGGAATTGATCGTCACAGGAATACCTTGGCACCTTTGATTGGGGACTGGGCTACGATGGGATGCTTGGCGGATTTCAATCCCTGGGACTTGAGGACTTGAACCCCGTTTGGGGTCACATTGAATACCCAACCAATGGTTGGGGTATGTCACAAAGTTGATGTCCACACCTATATGTGGTATGATGAAGCGAATTTGTATGAAATTGTCAAAGGTCCGTTACATAGGTAGTAAAATGCTAGCTGAAACAACTCACAATTTGTTTATTGATTCCTCAGGTTTTGTTGGCAGATACAACCGATATAAATAATAAAGGTGTAATTATATATATATATTTATACATGTATTAGTTTGAATCAAGGCGCAATTCAAGATATTCAAGACTCTGAAAATTCCACATGGACTCAAGCATTTTCAAGGCCCTGTCTGTTGTAAGATGTTGTAAGGATCATGATCATCGCCCTGTCTTTTGTGTGCCTGCTCTTTGTGGCCACTGTCTTCTTCGTCCGTGAGCCCAAGATGGTGAGGCGTGGAACCGCAACGTGGGGTGCGGGAAGGGTGATTGCGTAGCTTCCCTCTAGGTGGATTTAATTAATTCACCTTGGTTATGTGAAGTTAGATGAAGTTAGGTCGGTTTAGTTTAGGTACTCTTTTCATCTGCCAGAAACGGAGGAATGTGATCGTCCATAAGGGGATTTGGCCAGAGCCCGGGCGCGCAGGGTCAGCCACGTCTTCCTATTTTAAGATCTGCCTTGAGATCTTAATGTCTTGGGTCATTTGCTATTGTCACTTAAAAGCATGACATACAGACATACAGACATACACACGTACACACATACACACATACATACATACATACATACATACACACGTACACACATACACACATACATACATACATGCATACATACATACATACATACATACATACAAACACACATACATGCATACATGCATACATCCTTACATGCATACATGCATACATGCATACATGCATACATGCATAAATACATACATACATACATACGTACATACGTACATACACACATACATACATACATACATACATACACACATACACACATACACACATACACACATACATACATACATACATGCATGCATACATACATACATACAAACGCACATATACATGCATACATGCATACATACATCCATACATGCATACATCCATTCATGCATACATGCATACATGCATACATGCATACATGCATACATGCATACATGCATACATGCATACATGCATACATGCATACATACATACATACATACATACACACATATACATGCATACATGCATACATGCATGCATGCATACATGCATACATGCATGCATGCATGCATGCATACTTACATACATACATACATACAAACACACATATACATGCATACATGCATACATGCATACATCCATACATGCATACATGCATACATGCATACATGCATACATGCATACATGCATACATGCATACATGCATACATGCATACATGCATACATGCATACATACATACACACATACACACATACACACATACACACACATACATACATACATACATACATACATACAAACACACATACATACATACATGCATACTTGCATACATACATACATCCATACATCCATACATGCATACATACATGGTGGATTCAAAATGATGCTTTGTCCATCCCCGGAGACGGGAGATTTGGGGATGACCATCCATGTTGGTTCATGAGTACTAGTCATGCTGGCTAAAGCATGGCTTTGCTAGTTTGGTTCGTCCTTTGGCAAATGTCATGCCATTTATTGCGCAGAGATATGAAATATGATGAAATATGCAAGGTTGGTCACTTGCCATGATGCCTTTGAGCTAGAGCTGTCTTCCATCATCCTTGGCAGAGGCTACATCGATCAAGATCAACAATCCGCTCAAATCTTCGGGATTCGTGGACGTTGGCCGGGACCCAAGGGGACCCATGTCGGGTGACCATCACATGTCTACAACGGCTGGAGTTGAATGAAGTCATGCTTAAGATCTTCAATTCTGTTCATATGGTCGTATCACCACAGATACATGTGTGGCATCATATAACGTACCCGTTCAAGCGCTGCTGTGGGGCGCGCTGGACTCAAACAATTTCTTAGACGCGGATGCTGATTTGCTGTATTCCATTCCCAAGTGTCAAAATGCACAAGTTGAAAGCAGGAGTCAGATTTAGGTTACACTATTTCTGCAAAAGTATTTTATAATTAATGCCAAGTTCGTATTAATAAACCCCCCACTAGAAGGTAAGAGTCCCCCCAAATAAAAAACTCTGGCTTGTCATACATAAAGAACAACCAACCTGCCTGCCAATGGGGTGAGATGGTGAGATTGGGCATGGGACATTCCTGCAAGATATTACTTTTTGAACAATTCTATAAAACCGATCAAAAATAAATATATCCTGACTACAACACAATTAAGATTGCTGAGTTGTTTTTTCAAATGGGGCGTCGCACATGTTTATTAATAGGGAGAGACCAACCCAAAGTAGTATTGCCCAACATTTTTTGGAATGTGGGTGTAATTCGGGCCACTTATTCATATAAACTTAAAATTACTCACATCGTGCTGAATCAAATACCATTGTATCACATCATATCACAGCACATCACATTACATAGCACCCTGTTGCATACATACATGTACACTTCCTATATATATAATTATATATACATGATGTTCTACATGACTACATGTACATCTTTACATATATATATAATATACATATACACACTTACATATCATATGCACATACCTTGCATACACATGCAACATCCTGAATATCCTTGGAACACATTTGCCCACAATTGTGGCGGTGCCGTCGTCCGAGATGAAATCTGGCGCCTTCATGGGGATTTTGATGTTTGGCTTCAGCACACAAATGATGGCAGCTGAGCTCAAATTCATGGCTGGTGGCGCATGGGACTGCATATGGCTTACCCGAACTGGATGGGACATGAAAGGTTTTAGATTTTCCACCTCCCCAAAGACATCTCTAAAGAAAACATGGCACTGCTCAGTACCATCCCAACATTGCGTTCATAGGAAAAGGACTCTCAAACCATCCATCAAGGGGGCATATGAGTCAATAAGCATCAATAAACTACAGGTAGTTGGGCCATCAAACAGAATTTTCTTAACACAAAAAGGGAATGTAAAACAGCAAAAAATATTTTTAAGTTAGGATTCCATCTGACAGGGATTCGGATGATCCCATTCACTTTTTGTGATCCCATCTGACAACATATTCTGTTGAAATCTGGAGAAAGCCAATATGTGCGGATATCAGCCACTATAATAATATATGTATATATATATATAATACATATCATAATATATATATACAGAATATAAATTGTGGTTCATAATAGATGGGTTGTCTGAAAATAGTGCAACCTCATATTTGATGGTTTACATGATTTGTCACCATGTTCTCGATTACATTGGCCATTAGCGGGGTTACTCCATTTCAGACAAAGCTATATATATATATATGTTCAATCTTGTTGGTATCTATTCCATTACATTCCCATGAATCTCCCATATATCGACTTGTATTCCCATGGTTGTTGATATATGCCACCATTTTTCAATGAGTTCCCATAATTTTCCATGAAGAAATAGGTTTTCCCATGATATCCCCATTTCACACCCTGTTGCGCCAGGTCCACATCAACACCACCGCTGGACCCTTGGTGAAATCCCGCTGGGCAGAGGTCAAGGTACTCCCCGCACAGTTGCAACTTGGCGCTACCAACAAGCACAACTGGGCCTGGAAATTATGGAGGAAATCTGTAAGTCATCATTTACAACATCCT